ACAGAGGCAACATATCCATTGCAGTACAATAAAATTAAATGAGCTGCTGTCCGTCGACTCCTAGTTGTAGTTCATAGCTTTAAAATTTCTTTACTGCAACCTACAGCATTTCAAAATTATTAAATAATTATTCTCCGACGTTTCGGATCATACTGGAATCCGTCTTCAACGAGAGGTGTAATGTAAATGTAAGTAAGTGAAAATAGACACTCAATCAACCTGATTGGTCAGAAATGGGAGTTACAGCCATCCACTTTTTGGGACTCCGCAAGGTTTTCAGTCAATGCGTGCTAACGTTCGAACGCGAAACAAGGACCCTATGCGTGAAAGTCGTTCAAAAACTACAGACTGTACAAAACACCATGGAAATGTGCTTTGTGAAAAATAAGAAAAATGGATATGCGAATGAATGGTTAAGAGCACAAACAGGAGTCTGAGACGTCAGAGCATGAGCGAAGAAGTTGAAATGGCAATTGGCAAGACACATTGCAGGAAGAACTGGCTTTCTCTCGAAAAAGGGGACTTTAAGTTGGGTTCAAACAGGGGGTAAACGGCCAGTCAGAAAACCTCCAGATCTATGAAAGGGTGAACTCAAAAGGATAAGAATTGTAGAACACAGAATTTGGTACCGAAATCTTGGAGGAGCCTTCATTCAACAACGGATTGAAAATGGATTATGCAAATTATGAAGAAGAAACAGCTTGTGAAATGGCGATTCGTGAGAAAAATGTTATGCTATGTCTGGAATGTAGACGGAGAGCGAAATGTTTTATTCGTTCTGCTTGAAAATGAATATGAATTTTACCTCCAATCGTTTCTTGAACGGTTCTGGTAAGATTATTGCGCTTCACAGCAGAAGAATTTACTCAAAAACAGCAGAGGACAAACAATTTTCAATTGAGAGATTACAATTGTGATGGTTTCATCATTTGATTAGGTTGTCACAAAGGAGAGACTCAAGAGACTCACCAGGCGAGCTCTGTTGGCAAAGCCACAGGAAAGAGGGCCACAGGGTAAACATCAGACTAAATGATGTGATTTTACAGAAGGTCTGGCTGTCGCGCCTTGGAACCAGTCTCGCAGCGGGCCTGCATCAATAAAATGCCCCATGAAGCAGCTTCCTCAGGATCAAAATGGAGTGGCGGACTTTCAAGAAAGACTTAATAGCTCTTAGCTAGAAGTAAGGTCACTGTTACTGAGTGAATACTACATGCTGACTGTAAAGTAGCCGTTATCAATCGTAGAAACCTTGAAGTCGTACAAAGTTTGCAAAATCGAAATGGCGGTTTTTCTATGGAGTTAGTAATGTCCTCATTCCAACTGTGGTTTTGTCGTATCGAATAACCCGAATTGATATGTTTCATAAATGGCCCTTGAAATTGGAGAATAACAATTAAATTAATGATCTTTCAAACTTGAAAAGTAAATCAAACGATGTGCTCCTTGAAAACGGCAGACGTCATCCATATTGGTTCAGAAGCATGACATTATGAATGCTCTAAATTCAGGCAATTCGTACACGGTTTTTCGTAAGAATTTTTAGACTTTTCCTGTCCTATCCACATAAGAGTGTCAGTTATTTAATTTGCTGCCATCCTCCTTCGGTGATATCGTTGTCCTCTTCTTACTCCTCCTGTTTGAGTGCCCCCGTCGTCCGTTTAGGCAGTGGAACAGATAATTGAATGATTTAACCATTAATATCAATGGAGATTGATACATCCGGTGTCTCTTAACCCTAACTCGTTTAGCCGGATTGTAGCCTTGCCTCAGAGAGAATGAATGGAACCAATTGTACTACAAGTCGGTTGATACTATCTCATGAATTTTACGTTGAAATGTGACACAAATCTGTCGTCCCTCTTCTTCTAACTATGAAGACTCCGACCTAACATCTTTGTTTTTTTACTTTCATGTACACGTACAGTTTCTGCACGCGTTAAGTGTCTGTTTTTGCGTTGTTTGCCGAACCAGCTGGTGAAAAAGATGAAACGCTCTTAGCGTAAACCATGAGTTGAAAACGGTCGCAATTACAACAGCGATAAAGGCGTCAAGGAGGTAAGTGGGACGCGATTAGGAGAGTTCCCTCGATTAACCTCCTTCACTGTTCATGGTAGACCTCATTGGTCACCGCGGCAACTCACGTTTTCGCACTTAACTGTCACGTAACCCCGTACTCTGGTCATTGTCAGCTATCTGGCCGATCCCAGCAGGGACTGGGTTATAGCTATCTTTGGTAGATATACCCAGTATAACATGGAGCGGATCATTGTGACAGACCAAACAAGAAGAAACAGATCAAAAAGTCGAAATTAAATCTGAAATCTCTTCCAAACTTCTGACGGACCTCACAGTAACTGCATGTTCTTCGACATGGGAAGTCGGATCAGAACGCCGGCCGGCGACGACTGGTTATTCGAAGCTCAGGTTTTGCCAGAGATTTTGAAGCACTTAAGTTGGCATAGTTTTTTCTCTCTCATGTTTTTTTGCTACATTACAACCTGTCAGACGTCATTAGCAGAAAATTGACAAACGTTCGAGCGGCGCTTTGTTGCCTCGACATTCTTCTGCGACGGTCAGCACCAAATTTGGCAAAAGAAATCGTTGATGTCATGATTAGCATCGAAGGCAGCGATGATGATCTGCACGAAAGCCTGCAAATCAAGGCCGAGCTGTGATCTTAAAGGTGACGTTGCGGCAAGAGACCTGATTATCGAATCGCAGTTTGAGGACACCTGTCTAAAATGATTTAAAAAGCCTTGAAAGCCACCGCCAGCCAACAGTCAACTTAAATTAATCAGAAGCGTGACTTGTGGTGTGTGTGACCTAATGCTGGTTTATTCAAATGTTTATTCATCGGTAGCTCCAAATGCTGTCAGAGATTTTGCCTCAGTTGTACGGTGGCACAGTGCTTAGGAGGTCGGCTTTGAACTCCGGAGATGGCGGCTTTATTTCCAGCGAACGGTAATCTTTCTCTCAACCATGAATGGAACGCATCAACAAGAAATTTATCACACACTGATTCAGACCGGGGCTTATTTGGTGATCAAACGCTGAAGTCTCAATCAAAATGTGCCGTTTTTGAGATCCTGGTCAAAATCACTCGTTCTTCTTCGTTTCGAGGTTGCTAGATGAATATCACTCTGTGGGCAGAACACAGAAGACTACACAATACGCATGCCACGTAGTTGCTGTAGACTCTGTCTACTGTCGCACTCCTGGATGATTTCATGGGAGATAGATCAGTCCCCTAGTGACCGCTAATTCAAATGTTGCCAACCAGTAACACGTGACTAATCTCGCTAATTCGTTTCCTCACCCTATTTGTTTCTGTTTCAGGACAATCATTGTGAAAGAAAAAAGAGTAGATCAAAGACTGTCTTGATCACAGGGATTCTGGCTGACAGCACTGTGGTAATAATCAGCATACACTCGTAAGCTAAATGAGCAAAAATGAAAATGAGTTGTTTCAAATCATGCAACTGGATGAGAGGACCAACATCCCAAAGACTACGTTGGGTTATTTGAATTTTCGATCGCATGTTCTGTAAAGCGGTGTGACGGCATTCAAGTAGTGTACCACATCAGTGGCGAATATGAATTTTATAATTAGTCTTTAACAGCAGCTCCTTGCTTTGTCATTCCATTGTTAATGAGGTCGTAGACGTACTCGTTAATTGATGAACTAATGAACTATATTTCTTCGCCTGACATCTGACCTTTACCTTCACCTCAAGTCGTCATCGTCATTACCAAGTGTCCTCTCAAGTTGAAGGTTCTTGGAGTAATGCGAAGACTCCCCAACTTCTCACTTTTTCCTTTCTGTACCGCGAAAAGGGCGGTTTACTGAAAATGTTACTCGAACTTTTCAGTGCCAATTTTTATAATATTTCCTTGTTTCCATAGTAAATGTTGAAACCTGAATTAATTCTTTCGGATGAAATATATTATAATTATATAATATTTA